TCAATGAGATCTATCTACCTACAATGTTTCATCTTGATATCTCTTATAATTTTAGAGTTATGTTCTGGACAAAGTTCAGTGTTAAAATTTACAAAGGGCAATAACTCCTAAATTAGGACAAAAAGAGTTATTGTTCTTATGCACTGCACATCTACCCATTGAGATCTATTCACCTACAAAGTTTCATGTTGATATCTCTTATAGTTTTAGAGTTATGCCCCGGACAAGATTTGTCTATAAGGGTAGATAATTAAAAAATGAGGCTTAACAGAGTTATGGTTCTTTTGCACTGCACTTCTATTCAATGAGATCTATCTACCTACAATGTTTCATCTTGATATCTCTTATACTTTTAGAGTTATGTTCCGGACAAAGTTCAAAGTGTTGAAATTAACAAAGGGCAATAACTCTAAAATTAGGACAAAAAGAGTTATTGTTCTTATGCACTGCACATCTACCCATTGAGATCTATTCACCTACAAAGTTTCATGTTGATATCTCTTATAGTTTTAGAGTTATGCCCCGGACAAGATTTTTCTATAAGGGGAGATAATTAAAAAATGAGGCTTAAAAGAGTTATGGTTCTTTTGCACTGCACTTCTACTCAATGAGATCTATCTACCTACAATGTTTCATCTTGATATCTCTTATACTTTTAGAGTTATGTTCCGGACAAAGTTCAAAGTGTTGAAATTAACAAAGGGCAATAACTCTAAAATTAGGACAAACAGAGTTATTGTTCTTATGCACTGCACATCTACTCATTGAGATCTATTCACCTACCAAGTTTCATGTTGATATCTCTTATAGTTTTAGAGTTATGCCCCGGACAAGATTTTTCTATAAGGGGAGATAATTCAAAAACCGGGCAAAATAGAGTTATGGTTCTTTGACACTGCACTCCCCCTCAATGCCCTCTACCACTGTATGAAGTTTAAACAAATTATCTCCAAGGGTTTTCAAGTTATGCTCCGGACAAGAAAACGGACGGACAGACGGACGGACGGACAGACGGACAAGGTGCCGACAATATGCTCCCCCGAAATTTTTCGGGGAGCATAAAAAAACAAGCAAATTCGTTGAATTTATATCCCCCGCCGAGTACTGGTTATTACTAACACAACAACTGAAGACATAAGGCTTTATTTATATATTTTTCATGGCATAAACAGTAATATTCTTTGAACTTGATAAATATTCAGGGCAATAACAGAGCCATAACTCTGTGTTAAATAGTAATATCTGGAAATGCCAATAAGATGTATGCATACTGCATAACTAATCAAGGGCCATAAATCTGAGTTATAAGTGTCTGACCTGAACAAGGCGACGATATGCCCATCTCCTCTTGGTATTGAAGGTTCCAATAAAGTTTCATTGAATTCCAGCCAGTAGTTGCAGAGAAGTAGCGCAGAAACGAATATTTTTCTATATGCATACTGCATAACTAATCAAGGGCCATAACTCTGAGTTAAAATGTCTGACCCCAACAAGGCAATGATATGCGCATCTTCTCTTGGTATTGAAGGTTCCCATAAAGTTTTGTTGAATTCCAGCCAATAGTTGCAGAGAAGTAGCGCGGAAACGATTTTTGCTCTATATGCATACTGCTAAAATAACTAATCAAGAGCCATAACTCTGAGTTAAAGTGTCTGACCCAAACAAGGTGACGATATGCGCAACTCCTCTTGGTATTGAAGGTTCCAATAAAGTTTTGTTGAATTCCAACAGTAGTTGCAGAGAAGTAGCATGGAAATGATTTTTGCTCTATATGCATACTGCATAACTAATCAAGGGCCATAACTCTAAGTTAAAGTGTCTGACCGGAATAAGGCGACAATATGCGCATCTCCTTTTGGTATTGAAGGTTCCCATAAAGTTTCGTTGAATTCCAGCCAGTAGTTGCAGAGAAGTAGCGCGGATTTGATTTTTACTCTATATGCATACTGCATAACTAATCAAGGGCCATAACTCTGAGTTAAAGTGTCGGACCGGAACAAACCGACGATATGCCCATCCCCTCTTGATATTGAAGGTTCCCATAAAGTTTCGTTGAATTCCAGCCAGTAGTTGCAGAGAAGTAGCGCAGAAACTATTTTTACTCTATATGCATACTACATAACTAATCAATGGCCATAACTCTGAGTTGAAGGGTCTGACTGGAACAAGCTGACGATATGCGCATCTCCTCTTGATATTGATGATTCCCATAAAGTTTCGTTGAATTCCAGCCAGTAGTTGCAGAGAACTAGTCCGGAACGAAATTCGGACGGACAGACGGACGGACGGACGTACGGACAACGCCAAAACTATATCCCCCTCCCGATTCCATCGGCGGGGGATAAAAAATAATTGAGGAGTTAAAAGTTATAGAGCGGACACAAAATGTAGACTTTTTTATAAAATGAAGACTTTTAAACATTTGACCTTCAAGTGTGACCTTGATTTTGGAGGTAGCAATCAAATTATTGCGCTCTGCACATTGTCTTATTATGGTGATTACTTGTGCCAAGTTATTTCAAAAAAATTTCAGTGGTTTTAAAGTTATGGAGCAGACAGGAAAGTGTTACGGACCGACAGACAGACAGATGGACAGACGGCCTTCCGACCAAATAGGGATAATGGGCCATTTCTATTGTTATTTTCTTTTGTTTAATAGAGGGCCATGGCCCTTTATTCTATTGTTACAAATGAACTCTATTGTTCTCTTTTGTTCTGTTTTCAGTTAGATGGCCCCCTATCCCTATTCGGTAGTGTGGACAGACTGATAGACGGAGGGCATTCCTATAACAAACTTGGTTGACATCCACTGGAAGATGTTTCATACAAAATATCTAAGCTCTACCTCTTTTGGATCTTTACAAGAAGATTATTGAAGTTTTCACTATATACATATAAGGAAAATCAATAACCCCTTGGGCGAGGCCAACTTTGACCCTAGGACATTTATTTGAAGAAACTTGGTTGGCATCCACTAGAAGAGCTTTCATGCCAAATATCTAAGCTCTAGCTCTTTTGGTTTTTTAAAAGCAGATTTTTTGCAACCAGAGTTCTTGATGGAATTTACTTCTTTGAACAACTTTGATAGAGCTTCATACAAGGAACGTCCCCTGCAACGTTTCAACAAATTTGGCCAAGTTGTTTAGTAGAAGAAGTTCTTTAAGAAATTGTTGACACACAGACAGACGATGGACAATTGGCCATCACAAAAGCTCACCTTGAGGACATTGTCCTCAGGTGAGCTAAAAAAATCCACATTAAAGGATTAAGATAAATGACATCAAAGAACTAGAAAATGTGTCATCATGCCACGGATGCCCCCGCATGCAGCCAAAATTTCAAATGTTATAATATTTAGTTCCAAATTTGTTTGTACAAATTATTTTTTTCATTCTAAGTTCAAAGCCCTTAAACTTTTCAATGTTAACACAAACCATTTATATACAATGTTCAAAGCACTGAAATTAGTCTTAACCTTTTGAAAATAGCATATTGCATATTTGTAGCCAAAATAATGGCTATATACATTTCAACAAAAGTATGAGTGCTGAAACTGAAAGTTCAAAATTTTTCCAACATTCAGGAAAGATAAGTTTGTCCAAAATCATTGAACCACGACCAAATTCAAACTTAAACTGCTTATTCCTAAGATGTATCTATATTATTTTCAAAGTGAAAGGGACATAACTCTGCCAAAAAATCATCAAACCATGACCAAATTCCAACTTGACCTGCACATTCCTTTGACATATCCATATGTCAATTTTGAGTTGAATATGTAACACTGTTGGGTTGATAATGAACAGAAACTGTAAATTTCATATCATTTTCAAAGTGAAAGGGGCATTACTCTGCCAAAAATCATTGAACCATGACCAAATTCGAACTTGGCCTGTGCATTCCAAAATCATATCTATATGTCAAATTTGAGTTGAATGTGTAATACTGTTGGGGAGATAATAAACGGAAACTGAAAATTTCATATTATTTTCAAAGTAAAAGGGGCATAACTCTGCCAAAAATTAAAAGAACCATGACCAAATTCGACCTTGACCTGTATTTTCTCATGACATATCCATATGTCAAGTTTGAGTTGAATGTGTTGTACCATTGGGGAGATAATGAATGGAAACTGAAAATTTCATATTATTTTCAAAGTGAAAGGGGCATAACTCTGCCAAAAATCATTGAACCATGACCAAATTTGAACTTGACCTGCACATTCCTTTGACGTATCCATATGTCAAGTTTGAGTTGAATGTGTTGTACCATTTGGGAGATAATGAACGGAAACTGAAAATTTCATATTATTTTCAAAGTGAAAGGGGCATAACTCTGCCAAAAATCATTGAACCATGACCAAATTTGAACTTGACCTGCACATTCCTTTGACGTATCCATATGTCAAGTTTGAGTTGCATGTGTTGTACCATTGGGGTGTAAATGAACGGAAACTGAAAATTTCATATTATTTTCAAAGTAAAAGGGGCATAACTCTGCCAAAAATCATCGAACCATAACCAAATTTGAACTTGACCTGTATTTTCTCATGACATATCTATATGTCAAGTTTGAGTTGAATGTGTTGTACCGTTGGTGAGATAATGAATGGAAACTGAAAATTTCATATTATTTTCAAAGTAAAAGGGGCATAACTCTGCCAAAAATCATTGAACCATGACCAATTTCAAACTTGACCTGTATTTTCTCATGACATATCTATAAGTCAAATTTGAGTTCAATATGTGCAACAGTTATTAAGATAATGAATGGAAACTGATGATGACGGAAGGACGGAATGACGGAACAGGGTAACACTACATATGCCCCTGCCATTATATGGCGGGGGCATAAAAAGTACAGTTACCTTATCATTGTTCCTCAGGTAAATATCAAAATGGTTGTGAATATTAATTGGCTCACAGTAAGCAAAAGCCAAACTAAAGAAACAAGAGTTTTACAATAAATTCACATAATTATTATACATAAAAGATACTTACCACCAATAATCACAAAAATGTATCTTGATGTCCAAGACTGATTTTTGTTGCCTTCTGTAAAATCAACAAGATTGCATTTGTGAACACATGCTATGACACTGCATTAACACAACACTTAATAGTAGGAACAGAAGTAGATCTTTTTTTTTTTGTTTCTATACAATTGAACTTTGCCATAATACAGTAGTTTCTTGTGAATTTAGGGGTCAAGGTCAGATGTGTACAAAGACCAAAGTATAACAAGAATCGGTTGAACCGGTTGATGCTCCCCGAATAGGTTTTGGAAAAGTATACCTCTTGTAGTTTCAGAGTTATGTCCCGGAGAAAGTTCAAAGTGCAGTTATTCCAAACTTAGGCAAGACAGAGTAACTGTTCTTTGCACTGCTCATCTACCCAATGATATCTACCTAACATGGCCACCAATGCCTTGGTGTGTACAATAGCTCTCCCTATTTCTCGAATAGTTGTGCTCAAAATAATAGCTGTGTACTTTGTAAGGCTAATTTCTTAATGTTCTTTAAACCAATATATTTTATTCTTTTTTAAAATTGTATTACAAAATGATAATAGGGATAAAAATATTACTGACCAGTAGTGCTCTGAAATACAGTGGTAAGCTGTGTTGTGAGGTATTTTCCATCCACATTAACTGGGTTAATTGATCTATAGATAAACAATAATAATTATATAAGTCCTTGTCATATTGCATGTTAACCTACCATAAATATTCATTGGTTAATACTTGTAAAGTTTATATTATCCATGTAAATAAAAAAATTGATAAATATTTTTTGTTTGTTTTATTTCTCTTCAGAGAAAGGAATTGTGAAGTATTATAAATCTGTTATAAAAACGTTTCCGAGATTGTATGGTTCAGGCTGTAAACTATATAAACACTTGTTTGCTATATAAAACAATATAATCTTTGTTGTGTGGGGGTATAACAATGAAATCTTCAAATTAACTTACTGTGGTTTACAAATGAAATTATCATGGTCATCCCTTACATATCCAACAAAACAGGGCTCAACGCAGCTGCTATCTGTAACCAAATAGAAACCATGTCAGTCATACGAAATATATTGTTATTATAATATCAAAACTCCTGAAAGAGACATATATAAACAAAAACCGGTTGAACCTGGTGGTGCTCCCAGAGAAGGTTTTGGACACAGGAAAGTATAAAAAAAAGGAACAAAGGGCAAAAAGTCCAAAATAAGGCAAGGCGGAGATATGTTTATTTGCACTGCACTTCTATTCAATGAGATTTATCTATCTATAAAGTTTCCTGATGATATCTCTTATACCGTATAAGTGGTTTTTTTCTGCGGGCTCCAAATTCTGCGGTTTTTCCAAATTTTGGCATGTTTTTATTTCTGCGGACTTTATTTCTGCGGCACATTCTTTGGACAAAACGTGATTTAATTTCTGCGAATCTCCTTATCTAAGTCTAAGTAACATTACGCTATTTAATTTTCATGTACACATTCGCATTTGTTCATCGTCGTCACCACAAAACTGTACAGTAACTACAAACAATTATATTGTTTGCTTGCAAACAAATATAATGCGCAACAAAAGAAAGGTATGCATCTTTTGACAGCGTGAAATGACGTGTGAAAAATAAACCTCCGGTCAAGTAGCTTTAATTTAATACCGTAAATCAGATGACAATTAAAGTATACGACAATTATTTAGCAGTATAAGGGTTGAAATGGTTTGAATGATTTAGTGATAAACAAACCTTTAGCGTATCGACAAACACTATAAATTATATGCTGTTTAAATACCTTTATTCTTAAGTTAAAATAATTAACAATAAGTTCATCCTTACAAACACAGAATACATACTTAGCAGACAGCAGTTTTATTCAACTTGAAAACCCGCTAACCGTTATAATCCGTTAGTCGTTATTACTTTAGATGAAACAGGTCATAATGCAGTGCACATAATTATAGTACCAGGTTAAAAAACAACAAGGAACATCGCAATGCGATGCAACCAGGTTTTCAGCAAAATATTTCACAGAAGCTTTGTCATGCAGGGGCATTTGTTTTAAAGTGAACGCCCGCCCGCACACCCAAAATCACAAAACCCCGATGATATGCACAAGGAATCTTGATGAGAAAGCTTCTGTGAAAGTTTGTCAAAATAGTTTGTAGGAAGAGGTGTGCAAATAAGAATTTGTTCACTTTATATTCTATATATGGAACAAAAACAATATATTTCTATATAAGGGAAAAAAATAAATGGCCATAATTAGGTCAAACATTATCAAATCTCATAACCCTGACAACATGCAGCAAGAGTTGATGACAAAGCTTCTGTGAGAGTTTTGTCAAAATCCCTAGAGAATTGTAGGAGTTGCGCACAGAATTGCGCAGAGAAGAAGTGTTTCACTATATATATTCTGTATAAGGAAAAAAAAACAAAGGGCCATAATTAGGTAAAAAATTATCTAATCACAAAACCCCGACAATATGTGCTATGGCACTTGATGACAAAGCTTCTGTGAAAGTTTGGTCAAAATCCATGAGAAATGTAGGAGAAGTTGCGCACTGTAGAAATTGTTCACTATTATATTCTGTATAAGGAAAAAAATACACAAAGGGCCATAATTTCGGTAAAATATTATCCAATCACAAAACCCCGACAATATGTGCCAGGCACTTGATAACAAAGCTTCTAAGAAAGTTTGGTCAAAATCCGTTGAGAAATGTAGGAGAGAGTTGCGCACAGAAGAAATTGTTCACTATATATTCTCTATAATGAAAAAAAACAAAGGGCCATAATTAGGTCCAATATATACCAATTGCAAAACCCTGACAATATGTGTCAGGGCACTTGATGACAAAGCTTCTGAGAAAGTTTGGTCAAAATCCGTTGAGAAATGTAGGAGGAGTTGCGCACAGAAGAAATTGTTCACTATATATTCTATATAAGGAAAAAAAAACAAAGGGCCATAATTAGGTCAAATATTATCTAATCGCAAAACCCCGACAATATGCGCCAGGGCACTTGATGACAAAGCTTCTGTGAAAGTTTGGTCAAAATCCGTTGAGAAATGTAGGAGGAGTTGCGCACAGAAGAAATTGTTCACTATATATTCTATATAAGGAAAAAAAACAAAGGGCCATAATTAGGTCAAATATTATCTAATCGCAAAACCCCGACAATATGCGCCAGGGCACTTGATGACAAAGCTTCTGTGAAAGTTTGGTCAAAATCCGTTGAGAAATGTAGGAGGAGTTGCGCACAGAAGAAATTGTTCACTATATATTCTATATAAGGAAAAAAAACAAAGGGCCATAATTAGGTCAAATATTATCTAATCGCAAAACCCTGACAATATGCGCCAGGGCACTTGATGACAAAGCTTCTGTGAAAGTTTGGTCAAAATCCGTTGAGAAATGTAGGAGGAGTTGCGCACAGAAGAAATTGTTTACGCCCGCCCGCCCGTCCGCCGACATACCTCAATCTAATAACCAGTTTTTTCCTTCGGAAAACCTGGTTATAAACACAGAAAAATATTCTGCGGTTTTTATTTCTGCGGTGCTGAAACTAACCGCAGAAAACGCAGAAATAAAGTCACCGCAGAAAAAACCACTTATACGGTAGTTTCAGAGTTATGTCCCGGGTAAAATTCAGAGTGTAAAAATGAACAAAGGGCAATAACTCCAAAATTAGACAAGGATTTGGAAATTTTTCGGGTAGCATAAAAAATTTGACTAGGGGTGTGGATAGTCAGATTAGTGACGATCCCATCCGATCCGAGATTCAGCACTTAAGATTCACAAATCGAACCACGAATCTTTTTTTTTCAAGACACCCATAAAAACATAAACATAAGTTTTGAAAAAATGTTTATTTCATGTATTTTCAAACAATACTAAACATTAAACATATATGGTTTATGTTTTTATTCTTTGCACCAATTTTTTGAAACCAATTACTTCCTAGTTCAGCATCATGGTAAATGGTTTTAACCGGTAAATTGTATTTAGGTAAACGTCCCATAATTTATACTCAAATCATTGAGTTATAAATCATCAAATTATATGTTTCTGTTTTGGAGCGTAAAAATTATATGTTTAAAGTAAATCTCCATGAAAACTTATCAAAGCATTTTTTATACAGTCATTCAAAAACAAAATTGGATCTTACTTGGCAGAGGCATCATTCCCTTACTGCAAGGATCACTATCATTGACATGTATACAATATGGACCATAATAATGTATGAAACTATCATCATAAGGAAACAAGAAGCTGTTGTCTGGATTGTAGTAGCCTGCTGTATAGTTGCAATAAACCTTGGGGGGTTCAACCGAACTTCCGTTAGAGTATATGACAAATTCTTCCGGCAAGCCAGTAAAGTCACCACGATTACCTTTACACGCATTTGTACAGTTTGAGGAATGTTGCTGGTATCTATCTTGTGGACATGGTGTTACTGTCATCACTACCTTTGTATGATCATTATTGTCTATAGTAAACACCCCTTTTGTGCCTGTAAAGTATAAAGTACATGTTGTGTAAAAGGCTAAGTGCATTCATTTTAGGTAACTGGTTACAAGAAAATCAAACTTGATCACCTTTATTAACAAAAGAAAAAAAACATTATTTTTAGAAATTTCTATGAATGTAACTTGAGTTATCACATTAAGGATATATGGGGCACAAGTGTAATTAAAACAAAATTACACTAGTGTCTTACACTATCATTTGTGTTATATACAGCACACGTCAATGAAAATTTACTCTCCTTATTTTGAATATGTGATAAATAGAATATTATATTTGATTAGATTCAATACTAAATTTACTGAACTTGATAAATCCAAAACCATTTATACACTAATACCTGTATAGACCCCACCCACTTCACCTCCATCTCTAAAAATGAATAGGCACTGTAACTGTATTTTTTTAATTAGTTTTCTTTTTTTCTCATAAACACTGGATAAAATGTCCTAAGGACACTTAGGTCATAAGTTCCAATGTCATAAAATTCAGTCAGCCTCAATAAAGGTGTCAGATTATATACTTGGAATCATGATGATCAAGCTTTCAATACCTTACACTGGGTTGGCTTAAAACGAGGAATAATTAGTCATAATACAAAATCTATGCTAGAAATATGGGCCTTAATGTCACTGGCTTGAAATAATGACTTCAAAGACATTTTTAATGTTTTAAATCTTATGTTTGATAGTTAATGAGAAATAATTTATAAAGTTGTACAAAATTTAAGAACCTCAGCTTTGATATCCCTGTGTTGTGCCTAATGCAGAAGAGTCTAAATATCAGGTTTAGTAAAATCAGTACCTGGTACTCAAGCTAAAAACAGCAATATCTTGAAAACATTCTTGAATTAAATATAACTGACATAATGAATTATACTAAATATTGTTGAAATTTGTAAAGAACGCATCTAGTTAATTACCAGGTTCACACTTTAATGAAGCAGGTGCACAAAATTCTGTAATTGGTTCACCATCTTCATTCTCCAAACAAATGTACCTCTCACCGTCAAGACAACTGTGTTTACAATGAGAGTGCCACAATTCATAATTTCTCTGGGGAGGACATGATTTTGATGTGCTACAGGTAGATCTAGTTGATATGAGCCGATCCAATTTTCTCTTTTCCGGTAAGATGTCACAAAGTAATGGCACACGAATAAGAAGGCAAAACAAAACAAAAGTCTTAATGTTTCTTTCCATTCTTCCTTTTAAAGAAAAGTTTTCCTGAAAATTGAAAGAAAATTTGTGTTAGAAATTAATGTAAAATAAAATATCAATAAAATAATGCAGATGAAATCTTTTTTATCACATATCTAACTTTCTCCAAAATACTTCTTTTAAACTTTGTTTATTTAATTAAAAAATACTGTATTTTATGTAGTTATACTTATATATATATATATATATATATATATATATATATATATACTATATATATATATATATATATACAGTCACATTCCTCCATTTACGGGGCATCGGTCTATTTGAGACCATACTTGTGGGGTTTATATTTAATGTGGGGCATACATAAGGCCTCGCAACTCTGGCATGTTTAACCCATTACTTCATATACACGCCTTTTAACGCCTTTATTCACCCCCCCCCTTTTTATTGTCTCAAATGATGAAAAAATGCCTTATTTAGGGCCCAAACACTTGTTTTTGTTTGAGAAATGTTGTTAAAAAAAGTGACCTCTTTTTCGGCGCGGCTCCCCAACCAAAAGATACATCAGGGGGTTGCCAGAAGGGGGATGTGCCCCCTTCTGTTTGGGGGGTTTGAAGGGGGGCAGAGTCCCCCTCATCGCCAAGAAAATTTTGGACTTGTGAGAGGCTGTAAATGACCCCAGATTGATCATAAGGTAACGTGTAACCAACGCTGAAAAGCATTTGACTCTATCTCAATCCATTGAGAAGTTGCAGCACTTTGAAATCAATTTTGATGGAAAAAATCAACGCAAAATAGTGATTTTTGGCAATTTTGAGATGTCCCCTCGTTGCCATGGTAACAGAAAATTTCAGCCTGAGCATGTTGTTGCAAGGGCAATGGTCCAGTCAACATTTGTGCCAAGTTTGATTAGTGTTGAAGCAGTTTTTATAGTATTATAGCAATTTGAACTTGTAACGGGAGACTTTTCAATGAAAACAGCCATTTTTCACAAAATGCTCATGAAGTAATGGGTTAAAACGATGTATGGGGGCGTAGGCTACCCTTCTAACATAGTGCCCGTAGGCCGGTTTTAGTAGTAAATGATATATGTCCCACAAATGTATATATTTTTAATGGGGTTTTATGTTATTGGTCAATATGTTTTCACCTACGGTAAAATCAAATATATAGTTTATATATATAACTTAGTACCCCTTAGTTCTGTTGTATGGAAATGTTCATTATAGGCCTATATAGTGGCGTATATAAAAACTGACTGCATGAAATAATGCCACTCAACTCGGTCTTATATATGGGCCCCGTAAGTGAAGATATGTGTGAATATATATATATATATATATATATATATATATATATATATATATATATATATATATATATAGACCCGTCTCTCCTAAGTTCTATTTTCCAGTAAAAACAATTTCACGAATAGATCCTGACTGTTCTGTGAGTTCTTCATGCCTGTAGAGCTAAATATTAGCATTAGAGACACTCCCAGCTACATGCATATCACAGAATGATTCGTGATACATGTATATTCTAAGAGGGATCCCATGAAAATAGCTGACTTCATTACGCAATCACCCAACTAAGAACAATTTATTTATGCTCCAAATACCATTTATACCACATGAAGTCGACGTTTTGCTGATAACAACGGCATAAAATGACAAGAAACATTAACATCCAATCTGATTAAAATTATAATTAACTCCTAAATCGACTCGAGTTGACTCTTTGGTAATATCTAAATCTGCAAGATTTGTAAACCAGTCATTTGACAGATACGTCAACAATCGGAACACCTCGGGCGACTTCAAGAATTCGCAATCTCCGAACTTGACGGAGATTGCCGAGTTGTTACGATTGATACGTCAACTTAAATTCTGTAGGAACAGCTTAGTTGATTGGACAGATCTTACATTTTACTGTAGTCTTCAATATTTTCTGTCCAATCGGAATCATTTTAACAAAAGATCTTTGGTTGATCAGTCGATTAAATATGGAAGGCAATAGAGACGAAAGTGAAAAGTGTATATCTATAGCTCAAAAATGTATAAATGCAGGAGCTTATGAAAAGGCTTTGAAATTCTTAAATAAAGCAGAAAGGTTATACCCAACACAAAAAGCTAAAGGTCAGTAGATGGTGTTATTTTTTAAGTGTTTACAGGCAGCATAATTTTCATGTCACACACATTTTATCAAAATTTATCCGGTTGACAAATTTTCTAACCGTCTAGCTATGACTGAATCATTTTATTATCTTATCATGTTTTTTCCTGGTTTCAAGTGTATGTGCATATATACTAGTGGATGTGCAAGGCAAATTGTGTTAATCTACCTTGTTGTGATGGATGTGTCCCGTCGAATTACAGTCAACCCGGCCCCAAGTTAACCCGGCTTCAAGTCAATTTGGCCTCAAAATTAGTCAAACCGGCCCCAAATTTGGTCAATCCAGCCCCACATTATTTTTATTTGGTCAAAGCGGCCCATAAATTGGTTAACCTGGCCCCAAAATCGGTCAATCCGGCCCCAAATTGATTTTGAGAGAAAATTTATTACATTAAATTATTATGTATTAGACAATTTGTTGCTTCTTTCGTTTTCCCCTTTGTCTATAAATGATGTATTTATTACACACATTAAAAAAAGATTTTCAAAAAAATGTATAAGTAATTTCATATTTACAAATAAATAACACTTTTAAGTTTAAAATACCAGATACATAGACAAATGAAGATTATGAACCATATGTTAAAGTTATTGAAAACATTATTAGGCTATAATTTAATTTAGGGCCAAGCTGCAGACCCTGATTCTTTATTTCACATAGATGCAGCGTTAGTCTTTTATTATGGCTAGACTTTACACAAGTCAGACTCCCCTTACAAGTTCCTCCCCTGACTATTCTCCCTCTAATTTGGTGTATGTATGGTAGCAAGACACTTAACACTCCAGACACTTCACCCCTCAAATTTTGAAGACACTTCACCCCTTAAGACACTTCACCCCCCAAAATCAGTAAGACACTTCACCCCTCATCCAATTTTTTATATAAAGTAAATAAAACAAGTTAGTCAACAACAATGCTTATATAAATTATTTCTAGTATTATTTTATTAAAAATTTTGCTTATTACCTTTATTTTTACTAAGTTTAAAGCTGATTTAGGTCAACTGGTTGTATTGCCAAATGATATACAAAGCACTTTCATCCATTAAGTGTTTATTGCATGTCATCTTGTTTATTCAATATGTTGATTGGTTGTTTATTCAACAGTTATCTCAATAATTTCATACATTTGTAATTGATTAGATAACTGAATTAAAATGGTGTAATTTTAAGAAAATTGAATTTATTTATAATATTGAATAAATAAATATAAATGAATATGAATGAATGAATTGGTTGCTTTATAAAATATAGTAATCATAAATTATTTATCATCATTATCAGACACAATTATCCTACATTTAATACAAAGATCATTCATAATGTGATTTATTAAACAAATAAATTGCACCAGTTACGTAAATTAAGCACAAGGTTAAAGCACAAATCATCACCAAATGAACTTAACTTGATTATTATATGGTAAGGATCAAACTGAAAACAAACTGATACATGAATGATAAAATAATAATAAAATATGTTAAAACAATAAACATACTCAATCACTATTGAATGAATTTAACATTTTCTACATAAATAATTGTTAAACACAAAATAAAAAAATGAGGGGTGAAGTGTCTCAATCAAATTTCTTAAAATGAGGGGTGAACTGTCTGAGGGGTATTTGCAGACTGTTCCTCACCGTTCTTGTTGATTGATATTGATATATTCAAATGATTAATAATTAATAAATGAGCAAGTTGTCATTGTGATTGCATTTTTTTTAGGGAGAACAGTGTTATTTACATGTTGAAAACCCAATTAATAGAAAAATATGTTAAATGAAAAGTGTGGAAAGTTATGACGTTGCAAATCAATATATTACCAAATTTACAGGTAGGGCAAAAGCCTTCTTACTATGAAATTTTGATTGTGGTGTTATAGTAAGAATTATAAGCATTGGCCCTTATTCCCTCTGAATAGGCTTGAAAAAAAATACCTGGGATACATGTTAAGGTGTTTGAGTCTGCAATCTTTAACTTGTCCTGCTTCAGTAGTAAGTACACATCCTGGTGTACAGCTGATAATAATTTATGTGTTGATTCTGTGTTTCAGATTTATTAGACCATGTTAAGAAACTGAATGAGTCCACACCTGATGATACTGGAGGTGGGGCAGAAAAAAATGACGATGGTGTATGCCATCGCAAAGGTAGTCACAGCAGGGAGGCAACAGATTCAAAACAAACCAGCGAACCAAAGGAAAAGGATTATACAGAGGAGCAATTAACAGCAGTTAAAAGGTCTTTTTTTACTATTCTTTTAATAATAATTTTACGTCAAGGGCAGTCAAACCTGTGAACCAAGGCCACCTTAAAGACAGACTAAACATGATCTTTTCAGACATGTGGTCTGTATTTGGGGGTTTCTCTGTTCTGTTAAATCAGTGAGTGATTGTTGAAAATATTCTTTATTCACAGGTGGTCATTATCACAGGCCTTACTGTAAAATTATATTGTTTTTTAGCAGCCCTGTTTTTACAATATAGATCGATCTACCTGTAATCAGAGGAAGATATTTTGTGTTGTTGTTTTTTTTTCCTTGCAAAAATAAAAGAGGTAACTTAAATTTGTTACAATGGAAATAATAAAGACACAATTCATAGATTGTTTTAAGACATTCAAAAAATGTCACTTTTTACTACTTGACTATTATTGATTGAATAAGAGTAAAAGTTCTTTTATGTTAATTTAATATAAAGATTAAATATTTGATATTTAAATAACTTGCAGTTTTGCAGCCTGACTGTTATTCAAACCTAAGATCACAGAACGAGAAAATTATTTCAGTGTACAGTGTTTTTTTCTCTCAAAGTAGTGTTAATGCAAGAGAGACAAATGTTCAATCTTCATATGATCCTTAGTAAAATATGGTTTGTAACTAGCTTTCAATTTTGTTTATTGTTACAGAATAAAGAAATGTAAAGATTATTATGAGATATTGTGCGTAGAGAAGGACGCTTCCGAAGCAGATTTAAAGAAGGCTTACAGAAAACTAGCCCTACAGATGCACCCAGACAAGAACAAAGCACCAGGAGCAACAGAAGCATTTAAAGGTACTGAACATGCTAATTATCTTAAACGAACTTGTCCGTCTTTCATTTTGGACAAACCATTCATCATTTAGTATGTATATGCTGAGGCCCACATGAAATATCGGGAAACCGAATGTGCTAGCCTCATTAAACAAAGTTGTTACTTACTTACTTACTTATAGGGAAAATTTTAAAGTATATACAGACATAATAGAGAAAGTGAAGTCCATGATCAGACAGCATGGGTGTGCTAGTTAAGCCTTTTGTTATCAGCAGGCTAATGGTTAATTTATCTCTCATCTTTGTTTTTTTTGTGCGCCTTGAATAGGGCAATATATAGGGATTACTTTTGTTGGCAGTGTCAGCATCGGCAGTGTCCCCTTCTAAGGCTTGTCCGGGGCATAACTCAGTCACTATAAGTTGATTGACTCCAAACTTGTTATGCATATTTCTTTCAATGACCCGAAGTGCAGTGCACAAGAATGGTTATTCTGCACTTCTTAATTTTTGAGTTATTGCCCTTTGACATTTGTTAACACCTCCTGCTCATGATAAAGGCAATAAGGTTAATAGATACAAAATAAGAGGCTTTGTAACTAATTTGTTTAGTATGATTCATCCCATAATAAACATACAAATAAATTTTGAACACTGTTCAAAAAGTTTTGAAAATGACTGCCCAATTGAGGTTTAAAATCACCTGGGAATGCTTTACCACTTGTTACTCTCAAATTTTACATGGGAACTTTAAAAGGAGATTTTGATTGGTCCTATTTTCAGCTGTTGGTAATGCATTTGCTGTGATAAATGACCCTGCAAAGAGAAAGAAATACGATATGTTTGGTCCAGAGGAGGAACAGAGAAGTACAAGAAGTCAAAGGGAATATGATTATTCTCATGGTTTTGAAGGTAATTTGATTTTTATTAAATCTCACTTATTGTAGCAAGAGGACATAACTGTGCAGCTTGGCTGCGAAAAAGAGTTAGTCAATAAGCCATTTAAGTCCATTATATGTCTTTAAGACTGCGTGGTCAAGCTTTGATATGACCTGTATTTTATATGTTTGGCTTAGTTGAAGTTATAATATATGATCTGTGACTGTATGTCTATGGTTCAAAGGAACTCCACTGACGGTTAAAAGCCCCAAAACTTGAAATTTGAATTTCTTACATAGATCACCTGTTTCACTTAAAATAGAAAAATATGCAAAACCATTTGCCTATTACAAGTAATGATTATGTTCAAGACATTCGAAACATCCTTAGCTATTATTCATAATAACCTCAGAGTTGAAACGGATTGAAAGTAGTTGTATCATGTGGTTTCAGATGTAAACACAAATAGAGAGTGTTATCTTTGATAATGTAAAACATTAAAATCCATGTATCTTATTTTAAGTGAACTGGGGGAAAAAACTTGACAACAACTGTCAGCAGTAAATTACTATTTGTTTACAAGTTTAGTTTCTTAGGTTTGATTGAAATACCGTATCGTTCTGTGTATTCTTATTATTGTGCTTGACATCCTTATCCGAAGAATGACGGAAAGGATGGAAAAGTTGCGATAATGTTCGAGGAAGATTATTAGACTGGTTCTGTTTCTCATTGCAGGTGATATATCACCAGAAGAACTTTTCAACATGTTTTTTGGAGGTGGTTTTCCCTCAGGTTAGTTCCCTTTTTTTAATGTATTCGAAACAGGAAAAAAATATACATTGTAATAATAAATCATGTCATTTTGTTACGCTTTTTGTAATTCGCTTGTAAACGTCAAATGCACGAAATTTTGTCATTAAAATGAGACCGATTCATGAGTCGAAGTGTCAAAGTTTTTACACAAGTCCCTTCAACTTTTACTTACTGAAGGTCTACTATACCTACAATATTTTGATAGGATAAAATAATTACCTTATTTATTTGTCAGCTTGTTTGTACTGTCTAATTTTGTTGGTTAAAATATTGCAGCTCATAGTTATATATAATATTGTGTTGTCAAAAGTGAATAGAAACACTGAAAATTTAATTGTGAAATAAATACTAGTACTTAAGATTGATTACTAATTGCTTTGATAATAATAAATGTTTGCAGAGTCAATTTTCATTTAGCAGTAAATACTTATGAATGAAATATTGAGAAATATTGAATAATTGATGAAATAAAATGGGTATTTTCATTTTCTGTATTTTCACTGTAAAAATTTATTTTTTCACTGCAGTGAAACATATATTTTCCGTATTTTCACTGGTGTCTGGCCGGACTACTTTCTTCTAAAGTCAGCCAATGCACAAAATTTTAGTGGAAGTCTTTCAAAGTGTAATGTCAAAAAAGAGGAAAATGTATATAATAAATAGAAAATTGAAGTTTTTACTTTAAATACAGCATTTATTTTCATCTTGTGGTATAAAAATAATCATATTTCACTTTTTCACTTGTGGTGCGCCACTCCTGAAATATTTAATTTTATACCACTTAATGAAAATAAATCCTGTATTAATAGAAAAGCCTTTATTTATATTATCAATGTACATGTCCAATTCTAATTTTGTTTTAGTCTTCAGTTTTGCAGTATCGTGACTTTGTTGCAAAGACTTTTTAACAGGTTATATGGCCAAATATTAACTGTTTTTTTTTTTCTCAATGTTACTGCATAATATTAGCTCATAGTCATTCAAACTGGGTCATATAATCTGTGAAAAATCTTATTAATATAACAGGGGTGTGAAGTTTTACATTTATTTTATATATTGTCATCTTAGTGCAGTAACGGGCTAAAGTTCTTATACAATTCAATACTAGTAGTAGTTAACTTGTTATTGCACTGAGATGTCATATTATGTAATATTTGGAAAAAAATGATTATCGATTATCTGCTGCTATTTTTAGCAGGTGTACGACGGCAACACAGATCATACTCACGAGCAAGCTCGAGATCTTCAGATGAGGTAGAGTATCAAAATACGGAGAAAAATGTTGCATGCATATATAGTGTATAGTCGCTTTAATACTTGGTACATGTTCTGATAAAATCTTTTTGATGACCAAAATGAAATGAGAAAGTACAGTAAATCTAATGTATGTAGAATAATATTCTAGAGAAAGAATTTGTATTGTTTGGAAATTGAATGATGGATGTACATTTTGTTCAAATTTTTGGTTTCATAAAGTAAAATTTGATGCAAAACCATGTAGAATTCATGTGTGGTACAGCATCCGTATTTGTGACACAGTTTCCACATATGTGACAGTTACCTCGTGTGTGACAGTTACCTTGTGTGTGACAGATTTCATGAGTGTGACACAATTTCCACACATTTGATGTAGTTTCTGCATTTACTGAATACATGTACATATACATATCTACACATATCAGCAAAGATTTTATAGAGCATGTGCATCAAGTTGTTGTTATTGTAGGCAGTTGTCTCAAAAATGACCATACAGATAAAATGGTCGCTTGCCCACAATACGATTGGGACTTTTTTATATAAATTGACCAGGAAGAAAACATCTTTTCTTAACAATATCATAAATTGAAGATGAAATTGATGTTATCCGGAACTCAGCAAACATGTGTTTATCAAAGCTAATCCATAGGTACAAACAAACTTTTACCATTATAGCTTCAAGGTGCACTAACCATCACAACAGATTAGATAACCTGTTGTGCTTATTTTCGAAGCTGTAACTGTAAAAGTTTGTTTGTACCTACGGATTAGCTGGGAAAAACCCAAATATCCGTAATTCCAGAGTTGGTCTGTTGAAAAGCATATTTTACTTGAAGAACCTAATCAAAATTTCTGTGATGGTCATTTTAGATGTGGCAGCTTACATGTTTGTTAGAAGTCATTCTTGGTTAAAAGGCAGACGTCAGCTGTGTAGGAGACACTATCCTGGGAGAATCCAAACTTAATTATTTCAGATATATATGTTTTTTTCAAAATAAACATCAGTACATTTTGTGCTTTTACGTCTGTATTCAGGGAGTGTTTATCAACGAAGGGGCAGACATTCACATTCAAGGCAACATTATAGATTTACTTCTAGAGAGTCCCAATCTTCAAATGATGTAAGTTTATAGTGATGCTGTGTTAGGTCATTATCACACGTGCAAGGTCAATATAACATGTGCTAGCAGTAGTTTTAAATGATATCACAAATAATGGTCCTTAGTTCAAATCTGTCTAAATTTACTTGAAATGTGCTTTATACAAATATTTTCCTGCAAGAAGATTTTATTACAAACTCATATTTCTACTAATCAGATGATGAATGTATATGCAGAAACACTAGCTGACATAATTATTTTGGTTCCATTCCAATAATATTTTATAATAATAATAATTATGGTTTTTTAATAATAATAATTATGGTTTTTCTCCTTTAATTGGGAAGAGGGCCTAGCCTCATGATTTTGGGAAAAATTATCACTAAAATTGCTTATTTGGGAAGTAAAAAAGGTGGAGTAAGTTCGGATTTTTAGGAAAAATGCATGATTTTAAAGAGGAATCTGCTCTATAAAGTGAAACATCACTTCCTGCAGGTAGTAAACACTGTTTGATGTAAGTCGATGGGGAGCCAAAATCAGCATCATTGTATTAGTAGATTAATCTCTGTAAATCTCTAATCTTGTAAATCTTTAATCTTCCAATATAATTCTATATATAACCAAAATATAATTTTTGTAAATCTCTAATATTCCCATATAATTCTATATATAACCAAGGTATCGTAAGAGCATGTTGGTATTGGTCTGTTCATTATAACAGGTGTTAGTGTTCTATTTCTATATCCATATGAATTTAAATTGTTGCAATGTAAAACGTTTTCTACCAGTACAGGATCAGACAGGCCTGCACATATAAAGGCAGCTTTGGAAAAACTTCAAAAAGAACTTCTTATGTATACATTATTTATTTAAGCTTGCAAGTACTAGATTCATATGAGGAAACATGATCATGTCTCCACTAGGGCTTGAACTCAATGATCCTTGGGTTGAGAGGCAAACACCTTAACCAATATGCCAGTGCTCCTCTCATTAGAGCTTTTAATATGATCTTGTACATCATGTATAGTGTATTAAAGAATCTAGTATAAATCAAATTACCGAGTTTTGAAGAAACTAAGTATTTTTTATGAAACCTACCAAGTATTAACTTTATTGTTGTACCAAATTACCATTAAGTTGAAGATAATTTGCAGATATTAAATTTTGGATTTTAGACTGAGATAAAAAATATTTGTTTATATATTGGTCGCCCTTTAAAACAAGGCAGATAATAACATACTTATGTTACCAGTATATTGTATATGGTCAGGGCAGCATGTACATCTGTTTCTGTCTGTCATGACACTATTCTGATAACTTTATAAACTTGAGTATTTTAATTACTGAAGTCCCTTTAACTACTAATGGATTGTTCCAATTTCAAAGCAGGACAGGTCCATTATTTCAAATTTGTCAGGGAAAAAGGTTAATTTATTCCCTTTGCTGTAAAACGTTATAACTTTACAATTATCATATGTTAATATGATATTTAAAAAAAAAACAATAAAAAAACAACAACACCTTATTCTTGTAACAACCTAAATGATCCTGTATTTTTAAAATGTTAGATGACCCAGCTTAATGGGAACAAAAGTTTTAGAGGATTTGAAATCAGATTTATATTTTACATTGTTATTTGTTTTGTATTTCAGGGCAGCGCCACTTTACTGTTACAGTTGGCTCCGATATTATTATTGGTTATTCTATCACTACTCAGCAGTTTCTTCGTGTCAGATCCTGTATTTAGTCTTAACCGTACAGAGTAAGTTATGAATTCTTATTAGGGGTGTCACGGTTAGAAAAATGCTAACTGTTTAAATGGCAAGGTAATAACCTTGTCAAAAGTTAAACTGACCATACAAATAAGATCCTTAGATTTTGAACATTAACTTTGTTTCTTTATGACAAGGTATGCCATTTTGTTCGTATTTTGTTGAACTTGAAATGATAATGATACATATCGGAATATGGAGTAACTTTTTTCCGTTAGGTTGTACTGTATTGGATCAGATCGGAAAAAAATCCATTGTTGAGTACAAACTAAAATACAAACAATTGTCATACCTTGTTATAAAAAAACTAAGGTAATATTTAGAATCAATTTAAAACTTTTTAGCCATTTTGTCAAATACTAACCTTGGTTCCTGGTTATTGAATTTTCTAACCGTTTTTTAGCTAAAAAAACGACTGTACCCTTTTAAATGGATAGGCTTCTTAAAGAAAATATTTTATGGGCACATTATCCCTCAGAAATCAATATTTTTTTTTAATTCGTTAGAAAGGTCAAATAAATGTTCAACAATGTTTTAATAATGAATTTAGAGCATTTAAGATGTTAAACAACTACTGAAGAGAGTAGCATTGAATTTCTTTTAATGTGTTATAAAGGGAGGAAAATGTAAACAAAGTACATAGTAATTTCACTTCCATACAGAATACTAAATTACTATAATTATATTATTATTCTAAAGAGAAAAGAAGCAAAATTTTATCTATATGACAAATGAGTGAATTACTTGGAACCAAGGAGGTAAAAAAATGGAAAAATTAAAATGATAACATTGCCGAGTGGTTAACATGTCGGATAAATAATCTAAGGATTGCTGACCCTTGTCAGGAGCAAGCCAGTGTTTCCTTGAGCAACAAACTGAGTACTGGTTGCTCATAGGAACAGATTCAAAATTGTTTCAATACGCATAAAGCTTCCAACACAAACTGAAATAAATTTCTATAAACTAAATGGCTGTGCAGACTTGATGAGAGCACATAATTATGTAATTGCTGTTTCATTTGAGCACTGAATTTTTCATAAAGGAACTGATGTGTTATTTTAGCACTAATTTGTTATTTTATGCTGTTTTCAGTAAATATTCAGCTCAGAGAAAGACACAGCACTTGCATATACCTTATTATGTGAAACAAGATTTTACATCAAACTTTGCGGGTGATTTACGCCGGATAGAAAGACAAGTAGAGGAAGAATTTATTTCTAATTTACGTCAAAATTGCTGGAGAGAAAGAAGTTATAGTGAGTACTTTTTTAAAATAATTTATAAAAATGTTATCTTATTTTTTTTAAGAGCATATTCTTTGTGAATAATTTTGATTTTTTTTTTTTGTTATATGCTGATTTTAAATTGTAAAATGGTTGGATAGTACAAAGAGAAAGTTACAATTATGCTTCATATTAATAGTTACAAAAATTTTTGACAGATTATTTGGCCTTATATAAACGGTTCTTTGTAAATATAACCTGAGTCGCTAGGCGAGGGTTATATTGCAAACAAACCTTTATATATGGTCATATAACCTGTTAGGAATATTTATAACAAATTTATAATACTGCAAACTTGCTTTTTTAGGGAAGAAAAGTGAGATGTTTTCATGAATTGACATCTGTGTATGTAAAACTATATAGACGTCACATCACGATTATCTTATGAAAAGCGTCATTACAAACATGCAGTATTATTATATTTAAATTAGATTTGACTGTATGATTACTGTATGAGTTTACAAATTAACAGGCATGTTAAAGTTCAAATATTATTTTAAATAGGTTAACCGTTTACACACTGTAGCTTGATAAGTTTGGTTTGAGAAGGCTCTTATGCGACAAAACCAACATAGTGCCTTTGCGACCAGCATGGATCCAGACCAGCCTGCGCATCGGCGCAGTCTGATCAGGATCCATGCTGTTCACTTACAAACTCTAATGCAAGTAGAGAAACTGATAGCCAACAGCATGGATCCTGATCAGACTGCGCGCATGCGAAGGCTGGTCTTGATCCATGCTGGTCGCAAACACACTATGTTGGTTTTGTCGTGACACGGCTCATTTATTGTCGAGACCAAGTTCTTGACCCAAAAATATTCATTATAAATTAACTTTTATGTCTAGATTAAGCACATGAATCTGCATATTAAGTACAAACATACTTAATTCTTGCATATATCACTATTGGACTGTGACTAAAATTGTTTTGCAATGACTGATTTTACTATGTTCAAATTTTGTAAAATCCCTATCATGAAATGATGAAACAGTTTCGCTCTCTTATCTCACAAAAGATTTATCATACTTCCATTGCAGAAGAAAATATGTTATGGAGGGCCAGAAATTATGCAGATGCAAAATTATACGAGCGCGCACAGAATATGGAAACACCGTCGTGCGATCAGCTACAAAAGATATACAGCTAGTGACTTTGAAATATAACCACACCTCCTTACTTTGATTTCTTATCAACCACTGAATTTTTATCAGGGTCCGAGGTCCTTGTCCCCGGCAACAAACACACAGAAATACATTTTTTGGTGAATTCTGTTGCAAATTTTAAAGAAAAGGACCTTCGAAAACGCAGACCAAATGCATGGACTTTGTTTGTGATTATAAATGATTACATTTGACTGAATTAGATAACATTGTTGAGAGTAAATTTGAATGTAATCAGATGGAAAGGGGTGTTTGAATTGTGGCAAGCTGAACGTCAGTCTTGCAATTTTATTACCTTTGCCTTCTCTCTCCGAACCAAACTCAAGAGGTTAAAAACAATTTTATATTTATTGTAATAGACCTAAATGCAGCAGGGAAAGCAGAAAAATATAATAAGGCAATTGAAAAAAACTGAAACGAGATAAAAAAAAGAAAATATCCTCTTATCCAGTATACATATTACTAGTATCCCAGATTTTTTAAAGGAAGGAAAAAGTCATACACTGGTAAAATGTTACCAGTGGAATTTGTTTTTTCTCTGTTGTACAGTAAAGAAAACTTGAATTTTGTAGTTGGCACATTATTTTGTTCTTCATTATTATCAGTCTGTTTTAGTTATTTGTATGTTGTGATGAAAATCTAGCCTTTGATTGAAATAATTTTCATCAGATACACCATATATAATATCTACAGCTCAAATTAGAATTGGAATTATCAATAAACATGTATAATTATAAGAATTGTTCAAGCTGAATGCCTCCAGATGAGCCAAAAAATTTCAAGAAAATCAACTTCGAGAGAAAACTCACAATGTTTTTAAGAAAAGTAAATATACACAATTAAAGAGTAATAATTTACATGTTATATGCAATGAATGATTGATTTTGTAGTAGTTATCACCATTTTTTTTACTGTGTGACTAATGCAGAAAGGGGTATTTTTGCATATTTTGACCGTTATTTTAGTAATTTATGTGGATTTAATCTGTAAATTACTTTCCTTATTCACTTGACAAAAATTAATTTTTTAATACATTTTTCAAAAAAATTTCATAAAAATTAGCATGAATCTGGAGGCAAATGGTTTAATTTTAAGTTGCTCTATCCTGATTGTTATAAGTTAAAAAATGCAGTGACTTCTTTTTATATTTGGGTTGCTGTTTATTTGACAGATTACTGAAATAATATATTTCATTCTACATCTGAATAAATGTTTTATGAAATGAATTTAGTAAGACTCTTGGATTTTTAATTTTACTTTAAATACCAGCAATCATGAGACTTACCTTTCATGGATTGTTCACTGAAATGAAATGCATTTTCCTTGAATTAAGTTTGAAACTGACTACTTTTACTGTTACTATTAAAAGTGTTACAACTGTTACAATGCACATAAACAATGTGTAAAAGAATAGAGAATATGTTGTTGAAATGTTGGATTAAAATGAGAATCCCGTAAGGGACTTCTGAATTTTTACATGTGAGAAAGCTATCAAGGAAGATAAGGGGCTGCACTCAGGTGCCTGCTCATGGCTGAAATAATGCACCCGAGGCCTCCACCAGTGAAGCTGGAAAGTTACTGTAAGACTTTTACAGGGTATATGTGACTTAAAACCAAATAAATTTAACTAGTGAATGATACAATTTAACTTTTTACAATGATATTTCAAGTTGTGAACAATTTCTGTTTTTAGTTCAAAATTGTTATTTTATTATCTATGAAGATTTTTGTGTGAGATGAGATTGACTTTTTTATATATGTACATGTATATAGTAAAAGAGTTTACAAGTAAATATCTAATAAAATTATGTTTTTAACATACTCAGTAACTCTACAAAATTTGAGTGAACATACATGTAAACTTTTAATTGAAGAAAATTGCAATTGTTAATTTTGCTATTGATGATTTGCATTGAAATATTTGCATACCTGTATACATTATATAATGAGTATGCTGAAAAAAAGCCAAAATGTTTGGGAAAAAAACTACTTATGTCCACATGTAAAACGCTATCTGTTCTTTCTCTTACTGTGTGTTAGGAAACTATCCAACTAGCTTTTGGAAGATAAGTGGTTCACTTAGGGTGCCTGTTTGTGCCTGAATTGATACGATGTAGGGGCACCTGAGGACTTCTTCCACCTGTATAGCTGGAAAGTTAACATCCACCAGTATAGCTGGAATGTCACCATATGACATTTAAAATGTTGTTGTGACTTAAAACCCAACAAAAAACAAACTTATCATATGTCATTTGGTATGTGTAGATATCCCATGATGCCTGTTAAGAAAGCATGGGATCATCTCCCTTAGTTATTGTAATAAGAACGGAAAAGAAATATTTTAAATATACAAATAAATGTACTCAAATGAACATGTACACAAAATTAATGTAAATTTAGCTGCTTTGATAAAAAAAGTGAAGGTCATATTTAATAAAATTTGACTTTTAATGAACAAAAAGTTTACATGCAAACTTCATAGCATTCCTTAATTTTTCTAGATTTTCTTCAGCCATCCAGTGCAATTAATTTTTTGAATAATTTTTAATTTAGTATTGTTATAGTTTTGTGTTATTTATTTATGATAGTTTCTTATTAACTCAAGGCAGTACATTTTGTTATAATTTTTTTTTTTCAATATTTTTTTTTTATGATTTTTTTTTGTTACATTGCAATTTGTTAAATACCTTGGAAAATTGTTTTCCTTTTAATTTTTCTCAAAAATGTGAAGATTGGAATGAATAAACTTTAGTTTAGTTAAATAATTTAGAAATATATGCATTTAACATGTTGTGACTAGTACAGGTTATGATTTTCTACTGATGAGAAAAATTGTATTATTTTCTTTGCAGTAGTTAGAATACTGGATAGTATGAGCGTGAGATTTAAGGAAGATTTTAAAATATTGTAATTTTGTTAAATTGATTGATGTAAATAGTTTTTATCAGAATGGGAAAATGTTCGGCAGATATGGTTTTTGGAAGAAATTCACATTTATATGGCTGAAAATAGGAAAGAATGGTAATTTACAAAATTAAAAATATAATTTCAGATAAGGGCAACATTTGTCGGTGTCTATAATTCAAATTCTAACACAATCGGATTTTTTTCTATATAAACAAAGAAGGCCCGAAGCGTGCATTATTCTACAACAATGCACTCGCCGTTCTTATTATCTCCCTGTGTATTTTCACATTGAGGGCGCCATTTTGTTTGAAAAATCTGATATATAAAACAATTTTTTGTCGAATTTTGTTGTGAAAACTATCTAGAATGAAAGAAAATGGTCTAACTAAGAAAATGAATCTGAGCACCAATATCTTTAATTCAGTCGTTAACGCTGTTACAGACGTTTTAAAGTTTGTTGTTACGTGACGTTCATAATTGTAGCCGCCAAACAGCACGTGCAAAACAATCAAATCAAGTTAAGCTATTTTAGTATCGCAAACGAGTTAAGTTTAACATTTATTTCACTTTTAATAATTTGTATTTCGCTTGAAAAATTATAGAGTGAAATAAAATAAACAAACAAAGTTTTATCAACGTTTTTAGAAATGCGTTATTCTCTAAAGTTTCTACACATGGTAGATTTAACGACACTTTTTTTCAACCCACTGAAACAGCCTTTAAAGAACGTTTCTATTGGAAACTCTGAGGCGAAAACAAATTTAACCACCAAACATAAAGTCCAACTTTATAATAATAATTATATTTTTTCTTGACGTGTAAGAATGGAAATAGATATTAATTCTTCGTGCATTATTGTATAGTAATGCAAGTTTTTCGTTCAAATGCTTTGTAATTAATCACTCAGGCCTATCGGCCTTCGTGATTATATTACTACGCATTTGAACTCAAACCGTGCATTATTCTACAACAATGCACTCAGAATTGATATCTATTTCCTAAATAATATTTTAGAGGACAAAGATTGTTATTTGTTATTAACTTTCTTCAATCACTATTAGTTAGTGTTAATAATAATGATATCAGGACAATGCTTCAGGTATAGCTCTTTAATCTGGAAACCTTTTTCAAATTTGAGGATATTAATTACTTCTATTTATTGATAATAAACAAAAAGTAAATTATAGAATATATGTATGTTCTATATCAAGGGATTTTCTTTTGATATTTTTAAATTATAATAAAAAGAACTTTTAAGGATGGCCTATGCCTGTAAATGTTGGATTATACACATGGTAGTATAAAAATCAGTAGTGTTTGTGCAAGAAAAGGTCAGTTTATTGTAAATCTGTCTTGTTTGCCCTCATCACACACACACACACTCATATATAGACCATATTCCAATGACATTTTACAGGATATTTCTAGTTACTAAACATTGTTAAGATCTCTGTAAAATCAAACTTGTATGTCTATATATGACAAGATTGTACTTGTAAAATCAAACTTGTATGTCTATATATGACAAGATTGTACTTGTAAAATCAAACTTGTATGTCTATATATGACAAGATTGTACTAGTATTTGAATATCACAGGGATTATGGCCCTTTTCTGTAGTTTGAGAATTATGAACTTAAGAAAGGCGGCAGAAGACATTTTATCTTTGCCACACAAATTAGAGCTTATATTACTAACTCACCCTGCTGGAACTGAAAATAATAAACCTTTGCCATCAGTATTGAGCCAGGTCGTTCTGCACGCCCATGCAACCTGACCAGGCTATAATATTGGTAGTACAATTTTTTTGTATTTTGATATTGAACTCCCTTACACTGAATGGAATGTTCCAATTTCAAAGCAGGGCAAGTCCATTATACGTGTTATATTAATTAGCTGGTACAGGACTAATTTAATTATTATCAACAGGGACAAACTGTTGTTAAAAAAGAATTGAATTTTCCCATTTTATAAATGGGGAAAAAAGTCATTGCAAAACAGGGATTGAATTAAGTTTATGTACAATGTGTAAGGTGTTAAGCACCCTCCTTTTGTATTGGATGCTGCCTTTAAGTATATCTGAATTATGAATATATCTAAATTTCATTGTTTTTGTTATTATTAATATATATAAAAATGTTGTGAATATTTGTATCTCAGATATATGGATGTCCTTTTCTTCTGTATACCACACTTCAGTGATTTATTTCCACTAGGGCTTGGCAATAGTCTTTGTAAAGCCCCTTATTTAAGGTTTGAATAAAGAATTATATTAATCAGAGTGCAGTTTTATATGACGTAAGGTCAAATTAATTAAACAGATGTTTTAAAATTATTTGTCATAAGTTTAACCTTTTTAAATTTGAGTTAAATTTTTATTTGATGTAATTTTGAACTTTTTTGGCATAATTTTAATCTTAA